TTAAACATCCTACCAGTAAAATCTTTGATTCTCTGGTACTAGTTACATAATTGATAGTCCTACCAGAATAAACTTTGGTTGCTTGGTACCAGTTACTTAATTGACTATCCTAGCAGTATAATCTGTGGTTGCCTGATATCTACCCGCAATTCTAGAATAATGATCTTAGAATGTTAATATATTATATAATATATAACATATTGTGTTTTATATATTGGTTCATTTACAGGACTGCTGTGATCGCATCATTTATATAAACATATAGATAAATCTTCTCACAGATTATACATATATGTAATAATATACTGCATAAACTGTATATAAACATATAGATAAACCTTCTCACAGATTGTACATATATGTAATAATATACAGCACAAACTGTATATACCTACTGGTAAATGTACCCAGCGTTGCCTGTGGCATTTAAAAATCGTTTAATAAAATTTATATCGGCTATCTTTAATTTTTTGTGAGACATTTTTTATAGAGTTCATTTTGCTAGAACAGTACTTCTCGGGGGTACTGAAGGCTACCAGTAGGGCCTGCATGCACTGCATAAAGAACGCATTACACTTCTTTTTTATAGAAAAATTTGTAAAGTAACAAATCAAATTTTATTTTTTTGAATTCTATGTCCTGATAAATCTAAAAACACAAAAGGATTCAAATATTGAATAAAAAGTCTGCCAAGTTTTTAAATAAGATTAATGTCAAAAGTTTCCATGGATTTTCAACTGAAATATTGAAAATGAAAGATTACAATTTGAATTTTTTAAATTTCCTCTTTTTAAAAAGAAATGGAAAAGAAAAGTTCAAAATTCTCCTTAAACATTTCCTGGATAGTTTCTTTATTCTATTCTTTCTTTCTTTCTTTTTTCTTTGTACCGTTCTTGTACCTTCTTTCAACCTTTCGTTTTTTCTTTTTCTTTATCACTATATATCTAGTTAATTTCTTTTTCTTTCATATTTCTTTCCTTTTTCATCCTCTTTCTATTTCTTCATTTTTTCTAACATTCTTAATTTTTTGATTTTTCAGTCTTTCTAACATTTTTAACATTTTTATATTTTGTATCGCTCTACATATATGTGTATTTAAATAATAAGATTGAAAAATAAGACAAGTATCACTAACAATCAGATATTCCAAGTATGGGTTTGAAACTAGAGATTTAAACAAACAAGAATCAATTATTCAAAGAGCGTGCGTCTGCGTAGATAGTTAAACTTGCTTATCAAATATAACTGGAATTAAAGGGATTGCTCACTTCATTTAAAATAGAAATAATAATATTATTTTTGGGATTTTAGAAAACAACTAGTTAATATATTATTTTGACAGGGTCTGGTTTCCTAATTACTAAACTAGGTCTGCTACTCCAGATTTCTAGATTGGGTCTGCTACTCCTAATTTCTTAAACTAGGTCTGCTGCAGCTAATGCCTGGCCTGCTTATTAATCACGATCATGAATCGATCTTGAATTTTAAATCTATTTCTTAAACTTTCTGTTAGAAAATATCCCCCCTCCCCCCTCCCTCCTCCTTAGTAGAATAAATTCTATGTGTGGGGTTTAGGAATAGACATAAAGGATAGTTAATAGACTAGTTTTTTATACTTAACTTGAAATTTAGGAGTTTTAAATGTGAAGAATTTCGAATTTACTTTAGACAGAACGAATTTACCTTTAAAATATCCAAACCATGAAATTTTTATTATTTCTACTTTACTAAAAACTTTTAAACCCAGATTATTTTCCAATTGAAGAATAAGTTTTCGTTAAAAACTTTTTTTTCTTTTGCATTTTAAAACAGTAATATAAAACGTAAAGTTTTAAGACTATTTTACCAGATTAATCTAAGCTTCTCTATTGAAACTTTTCCAGGTTTGTACAGAGTGTTTTTTTTCATTCTGTAATTTATAATTATTTAACAATTAAGGTTGTCTACATTTACGAACTTTTGGTATATAGCAACACAATTATTTAGATTTCGTCATTAAATGTTCAAAATGGCTACTGTTCCCTTTGGCACACAATGAGATATAAGCTTTTCAAATATCACAGAATTTAAAAAAACACCCTGTAGAATGTTGAAGTTAGGTTATCTAACGAGATTACAGAAGATTAGAGTTTATTAGAGTAGAATTAGTCTAATACTCTTGTAACATTAGGGTCTGGAGAATATACTTGTACTACACTGAAAACTTCATTTAAAGTAGCGTACCGACTTTCAAGCAGCTGATGGAGCAAGTTGTACATTAAACATACAGACTATGGACTGCAAAACAATACAGAACGCAGTATAAATTATTCCCTGCGAGATTAATATGAATATCTAGGAAACCATGCTTTGCCTGGAAACTAAACTTTTCCGTAAATATCAATCCCTTCAATTTGGAATTTTTTAGTCAAGCTAAAAACATTCCTATGGTTCTTTCTAGCTCCATAATCAAAATTTGAGACAAATCTGTCCAGGGGTTCAAGAGTTATAATCGGACATACAAACAGAGATTGTTAATCTATTTATTTTGATACTAGCCTGGGAACCCAGCGCTGCCCAGGTTACTATAAAAGTAACTCTCGTCAGTTACCCGCACTTGAATGCTTTTAAAGGGGAACTGAATTTTCGCTTTTTAAGTCGACTTACTTTACTTACAATCTCAAGACCTAGCTAAAAACATTCCCGTGGGTCTCCCGAGTTCTCAAATTAAAATTTGAGGCAACTCGGTCCAGGGGTTCCCAAGTTGTGATCAGACAAACAAACAAACAGACAGAAAAACAGAGATTACAATTTTATATGTTAAGATATAAATAGATACTTGGTATCTTTATAGGACTGCTAGGAGGGGTTGGGGGGTGTAAACTATCCCCCCTGTCTCCGCTTTACTAATTGCAAGAAAACAAACAATGAATTAAAAGCTTAATTTCCTCTATTTAAATAGTTGAAAAGAACTCTTGTTCCTGGGTTTGTTTGAAGAGAAAACCTGATGTTAAATTTGCATAAAACCTGTCATAAACAATCCGTCTAAACTACTTCTGTTTGCATAATTTCAGGCAATCATGGCAGAGACTTAGCAACCGGGGACATGCAGCATCATGGAGATAAACTATCTTATAGCAGCTATCTAAACTATCTTATAGAAGCTATCTAAACTATCTTATAGCATCTATCTAAACTATCTTATAGCAGCTATCTAAAAATAGTTAGATTCTTGTCATTTCTCCATTGTTTCTGAAGCAAGAAATGTGCTAGTCACTTTTGCAGAGAATCCACAAATAAAAAAAATCACTTTTAAAAGCAAAAACATGGATATATCAGACAACGTTTTGAAGGTTACCGTTGTGAGTCAGACATACCACTCTATCAGTTTTTTGTCACTTGAAATAACTTCTACAGTCGCTGTAAAGGAAGTTGTTGAACATATTATAAAGGGTATAGGATAAACCTAAAATGAAGGGTATATAATAAACCTAAAATGAAGGGTATAGGTTAAACCTAAAATGAAGGGTATAGAATAAACCTAAAATGAAGGGTATAGAATAAACCTAAAATGAAGGGTATAGAATAAACCTAAAATGCCAAATCTGGTGAAAGTGTCTGTTTCTGAAATCAATGAGTTATCATCGTCCAAGGTTGAACCGTCGAACGTTCGAGCGCATAAAATCTCAGGTTAAAAATACAACAGTTTGTAAATTTAAAATATAAATTTTCTAATTTAAAGTAAATATATATTTAGATTGTATTCCTGGTGGGAGCAAGATTGTTTCTGAACAAACAAATAACAAGGTATACAGTGCTCAGTAGGCGGTCCGTGTATAGGGAGTCTTAGGGAGTAGATAGAACCCCTTCTTAGAACCCCCTTGTAAGTAGATGTCCCCCCCCCCATCCCCCCCGGCCTCAAAGACCCTGAAGTGCCAAAGGGTAAACACGACAGTCGATAAGACCCTAAGACCCTCTTTGAAATTCGATGATGATGATGGACCATCATGAAGTAATTAAAGTAGTAGAAGTTAGTTCCACATTTTATTGAAAATATATTTCGGTTTGGGTTGATTCTCATCAGTTCTAACGATATCATAATCATCACAATAAAAAATAAAAACTGTTTAAAAACCACAAGTTAACCCTTAAAGTGAGTAAAATTGCAAGTATTCTGAGCCCCCCCCCCCACCCCACGAAATATATGTTTTCAACATAAACTTTTATTCCTACACATACAGGCTTCATGATGAAATGTTTTATAGGAAACTTTTATGAAGAAATATTTTAGGATCTATGAGAGTATTTTTTTAAAAATGAAACTTTTACTAGGGCTCAACCTTGCAATAAAATGGAACGCACCCAACCCCCTGCACCTTATAGTTGATACACATATATCCCCCCCTCCCCCCTCTCCCCTCCTCCTCCGAATCTATGTTAGAAAGTCCCGGGAAAAACCTGGAAAAAAAACCTGGAAATAATAACTTTGGAAAAAAAGTCCGAATTTTATCAAGTCCTTGGAAAAAATGTCAGTGGAAATAAAGTCCTGTGTTTTGGATTCCTGGGACTTTTTTTCCTAAAATAGTGTGGGGGGCTGCCAAAAAAGTCTCAGGAAATAAGATCCCAGGAAAAAAGACATGAAGAAAATAAATCATAGAAACAGAAAAACATAGAAAAAAAGGCCTTTTTTCCATTGTGAATCATGCATTTTCACTTGTTATATGACTTTTTTCCGGAAACTTTTTTTCCAATGACTTTTTTGGCGGTTACCTCCTCGTCCATACCTCCTGTATCCTCCAGCTCCTTTGTCTTATCTCCCCCTCTTTATATTCTTTTTATAGTTTCCTTTAGATTACCAACCCTCCCGAATATCTTGAGCTGAGTTTTCTCTTTGTTCTCTTGGATCTTTCTAAAACTTTTCTAATTGATTTATTTCAAAACTATTTTACAAGAAATTAAATTAATGTAATTTATTCAGCTCTCTATTTATGTCAATATGTAGGAACATTTTAGAACCAAGTTTAATTAGTGTAATCAGGATCACATGTGAAGAAGAATGCAAGAGCAATCCTTGCACCGGAAAGAACGGGTTCGATGTAGTGCTCATTCTCCTCTCCAGCAGTAAACAGTACTACGGGATATCAGGGTATATTCATAAACTAGGAGACATCAAGATATGTTCATAAGCCAGGAGATATCAGGATATATTCATAAACTAGAATATATCTGGATATATTTATAACTAGGATATATCAGGATATATTCATAAACTAGAATATATCTGGATATATTCATAACTAGGATATATCAGGGTACATATTCATAAACTAGGAGATATCAAATCAGGGTATTATATAAACATAATATAATATTATAATATATATATAATATATATAGAATATATAATATTATATATATATAATATTATAAACATAATATAAACATATAAACTAGGATTTATCAGAATATATTCATAAACTAGGAGATATCAGGGTATTATCATAAATAATGATTTTCATATTATAATGAAAGACAGTTTTCAAAACATTAAATTAAGTTTAAATAAAAATGAAAATAGATATGTAACGAATTACTTGTTTACAAATTAAGTTTTAAAATGCACTGACGGGGCCACCAACCCGAGACAAACAAAAACAAAAACACAAAAAAACTGTTCGACATTAAAATATGAACAATAATGTGACAGACAGACATGTAAAAAGACTGACAGACACTAAAGGACATGAAGATTGAAAAGATAAAAGTATGAAGTGTCACGTGATGTGCCTGGTTGCCAGGAAATGACAAGACAAGAGGGAATAATCGTCTTCCCAACATTTTACAGGAATATATATTCCTTAGATCTAAACTGGGTCTGCTATCACAGTATTGCTAGAGGTAATTTCTTTCATAAAACATAATTTAAGCAGAATATGAATAAAATATAATTCAACCGAAATCCCAACAAACTACTACATGAGCCGTTCAAAAGATTGTAAATAACTAAGGAAGTGAGTCTTTGTCACAAACTCTGATTTTCTAATCCCTACATTTTATCAACCTAATTTCGCAGACCTTAGATATTTCAAGTTATGAATTCTTTTAGATCAAATAATCTAAGTTTGAATTATTAAAGGTTTACAACATCAGGTTGCAAATATATAGGGATTAGAACATTTTAGATTGTGGCAAAGACTCAATTCCTTTGTATAAGGATTAACGTGTTATTATTATTAACACAAACCAAAAAGCAGGTTTTCTATGGCCAAATATGAATTAGGGTTTTATTTTTACACATAGAGAATAGAATATATATAGAGAGAGGAATTTACTAGAAAAAAGTGTAAAACGGCCATTTTGTTGTACTGTTTCCATACTGCAGATGTACTTCACATATTTGTGCTATATAACCTGTTGGGCCCTGGAATATAATTTTATTGAAAATCTAAAATTATTGTTAAAAGAAACCCAAATTATGAAATAGGCTGGTTTCATAGTTGACCAATGATCATTTCACATAGACTCTATGCCTTCCACTTTACAAACGATGATTTTCCGTTATAATTATAAATCAAATGATGTTTTTATTCACCTAATTCATAATAAAGTTTATTTAACAGTTAAAAAAATTCGAAATTGAAATGAATAGTCTAGGGAACAAACTGTATTAATGTGCTCTACTGCATATAATTTGTGAACATTTACATGATTTGTAAACTTTGAACTCTCTTTAAGGCTGAAAGGGACTAAAAAAATTCATACCGAGAGATTCTTTTAATTCCTCTCTATATATTCTATTCTCTATGTTTGTACAGCAATTTTTCAGACAAAATGATTTTCTATTTGTTACATATTACTTTCAGAAATGGCAAATGAGACGGATATTAGAAAAATGGCCAAATCAAAAGAATTTTAAGTTTTTCACACCAACCTAGTATCGTACATTCAAGGCAATATCATATATTTAGATTTTTAATATAATGTTAAAAATTGTAAGTAAATAATTAGGTTCAAAAGTAAGGTGTGAATATTCCCATGACATTCCTAAGCTGTTTTTAGATGGATGGAACACGTTGTTAAATGCACAATTTCTGTGACAGGGCCCCTCAGAGGAATATTCTGATGTCTGACAGGGCCCCTCAGAAGAATATCCTGAGATCTGATAGGGTCCCCCAGTATAATCTATCCTATTGAAGGATCCTCCAGTAAAGTCCTGTCCACTAGAGGATAGGTAGAGGACGGCTGAGTAATGAATAAGCGTATCCTCGTAAGTGAGAATATCAACATGCGGTCTCCAGTATTCTATAGAGCTCACTTCTCCGGTTATTAAGGTCAAACCTAAAAAAACGGCAAGATAAAAAATGTATTAATCGTACATACAAGAGTAAGTTTTACCTAAAGGTTGGGTTGGATAAACATGGTTTACTCCGAAGGTTTCGTGAACCTTGTCCTGCAGCAGGTTTCTTACTATGTTCAGTTGTACCCTGAGCTCTTCTAGATCCGTCTTAATCAGATATAAATCCAATCCATGATAGGATTCAGTAATTTCCCAATCTACTTGATCTGAAACCCCTTGACAGAAAACAGAATTAAACTTTTCTTTTCTCTTTCAATTATTTCTTTTGGTTGGTTTCATGTTCGAGAAACAAGAACTTTCCGAGGTTTTAATTCAAAAAGTGCAAATCATTTCTTGTCGAAAACAAAAAAGTAGGAAATCCCCGAAATTGAAAACAATTTTACAAGGTAAATAAAGAAAACTATATTGCAGTTTTCAAACTTTAATTTTTTTACTTATTTTGTTTCTTACTATTACTCTATCATCATAAATCTATTAATACTTTTGAAGTGACGTATTTTGTTGTTGTTCTTGTTGTTGATGTTGTTGTTGTTGTTGTTGTATTGAATTATATTCCTGATTTTGTATGTTTATAGTTCCATTCTCTGTAGTTAAGCTTCCACTACAATTTGAAAAAATAAATAAAAAAGTGGATGTTAATTGTTATTAAAAACGCCAATTTACACTAAAAAAGAAACTTTTTAAAAAATTCTAGACCTATAAATTAACACAATTAGGGGGATTAAGCTTCTCTGTTCTCTGTAGCTTTAGCTTTAAAGAAAATATTTTTTATTCTTCACAAGATAACAAGAACACACAAGAAGAAAAACTAATATAGCGACCTTCCCAATATCAAAAGAGAACACAAGAAGAAAAACTAGAGTGCACTTTACAAGATCAGAAGAAAATATTCAAAAAGGGTATATAGAACTTTTTGAAATAAAAATATTTAAAAAACTGTGAATGAATAGCATTAAAGGGACTGTAAGCGTAATTTCATGTAAAAGATGGCAATCTCCGATTAAGAACAGTAGATATTAATGTAGTTTGAAAAATTGACCTTTTTTCGAACTCCTAGAAAAACGACAATATCTTCCATATAAGAATCTAAGGGTAACGTTGCATCTTTGCATGGATGGTCACTTGAAATTACCCTTACAGTCCCTTAAATTAATCATTACTAAACGTGTCTAAAGCTAAAAAAATAACGTGTCCTTGCCGTAAAAAAAGAATTTTTGACCGTCTTTTTTTTTACCATCATTATGAGGCCTTACTTGTTTTCATTAGATTTTTAAATATTGTCTTAGTAAACAGATATTATTGTTTTAGTTTTCTAAAAATAATAACATTCTGGAATTTTTCTTTGTTAAAAATCTGTGTTTCCGGCCAACATACATTCAAGATAATGCGTCTCTGTGAGCCGAGAGTAATTTTACGCTCCGTGAACAATAATATGTAAATCTTAAATACTTTAAGTTTTCTTATCTCTTTGCTAAAATGGGGAATGTTAAAATAGAATTTTTAAATCTCCAGACTAAAAAGGGATTGTCAACAAAATTTCAAATGAGTGCCAAAATCGATTCACGCATTCACTGTTTACCGTTTTTATTGGAAAGAAAGAAGACATAGAAAAAAAGTTGTCATTTTTAAAGATACTAGGCTTTTAGGGCACTTTGCGTCAATCTTCTATTTAAACTTTTAATTGTGGCTCTATCTGTGAGCATCTTCCTCTTTGTACAATATAAAACAAGAAAAATAGTTCGCAGATTTAATAATATTTTTCACGCATTTTCAAAATCAATCTTTGGACACACATTTTTGTAATTTTTAGCATCCATAAGTCATGTAAGGTCCCACACAAAAGAGCCGGATATTGTAAATGCTAAAAAACAAAGATAAAGTAACTATATATATTACCTATCAACGTCTATCGCGATGAATGGTTCGATGTTTTTATATTTCTGCAGTAAGTTATGTACTCTTAGTTCTACTGAAGCGTACAGCTGTTGTGACAGAAAGTTTTGTACATGCGAAATTCCGCAAGTTTTTGTGACACATGTACTGTACAGTGTTCTTTCTCTGTCGTACTCAGCACTGCAGGGTACATAACAAATGTTTTTACTTGTGCTATGATATTGAGCAGAACTTTTATCACAATTTTTAGATTGTATCAGGAATTTGTCAAGCGTACTTGCTTTACAATATAATTCTTCACTATTCATTTTTTCACTAAACTTAAGTTCCGCACTTCTACATCGTAAATTCAATATTGAAACTAAACTTAAGTGAATCAAGATATTCATGAAGAAATTAACCCAATTGGTGAATAAATGACGTGAATGAAAGATGAGAATAATTGGGTTGAATATTAGATAATTGGATTATAAAGTAATGTATTTACTGAAAAGTGTAGATTTACAGATAAACTGTACAATTATCCCGGTTATAATTGTAAAGGGTAAACTGTAGCGCGGGGGAAACTGCTGTGTAAATTGTAATATATAAAACAGGTAAAAATAAGTTAAAACAGTTATCCATCTACACTCTACTGTCATACCTATCTATCTATCTACAGGGTGTTTCCTTACAACTGATATTTTTTATTTACTTATACTTTATAAATATATTATTAGTTAAACTGGATTGGGGCTTTTACGTTTTAAGAAAAACCACCATTCATATGAACTTTTCTAAGTTGGTTTAGCTGTGTGTTTCGCGACGAATCCTTCTCAAAACTAAATTCGTCGATATAGTAATAAAACCCTTTACCTAGAATCCATCCTAGGTGACCGAATATTTGTATCCTGTAAGCTTTACTCCAAATTCTCAACTTAGATCATTCTTCTGTAACTTACGAACTGTAGAATCAAATCTAATAAAAAAGGACAATCTTAAGCATATAAAAACACTAAATATATCATCAAAAGCAAAAGGATAAACGAAACTGCTTATCATGACTTCGCGGTATCTGACATGTGGGAATGAGAAACCTACGGGGCATATTCCTTTTAATGCAAGCGGGAAATTTAAAATAAGGCCGCAGAAACAAATGTCGTACTTACATATGCTGGCGTCCTGATCAATGGATAAAAAGGGTTTCTGTCTTAACTCAAGCATACAATATCTGAAATAATAAATCTGACAAACAATGCAAGTGACGGGGCAAGTAACATGAAATGTTATCCGACCAAGGCCCGTCTCAAGAATGAGTCTGATTTATCATTTCTCAGGCAGCTTTCAGTAAGGGGAACCAATAATAGATGATCTTACATATTCTGATTCTATCAGACCAATCAGAAGGTTCCAACTCACGTTTACAGTGAGTCTCATTAAACACTGGTGAGTTTGACTATTTTCGAAAGCTCAGAATATACGCGTAACACTCCGGCGGGGGGAGTGTTTCGAAAAGTAGTCTAAATATCCTCGAAACTAAAAATAAAACCCACACGCAATCAATAAGGAATAAGAAAAACCCCCTTAAACATAACCTCAAAGGCACATGAATAGAAAACAATATTTATTGCAATACAACGAGTTAACAGTAACATTATTCAACAATATATAATTTGTTACAGAAAATTTTTGTATAAACTAATATAAACTATATAAGATGTGTATGAGATCAATATATATATGGCAGGATTATGGTCACAGCCGCAATTTATGAATATCTCAGGTACATTATTTCTATCTTTTGTTATGTATATGTATATACCATTGTAATATCCGCAATCTATGACAGGTTTTTGAAAAAGAGTTACAATATCAAAAAAAAAACGGACTACGTTGAATAAATATCTTTAGGATTTTCATGGGACCGACACACAAAAAACAACGAAAACTGGTTAAAATGAAGAAAAAAAATATCAAGGATTAAAAGGTCTCCTCAAACTCTGTCTCCAGAGCATAATCCTCATCAGAGAACATTCTTTTCTCAGACTCTATGGCTTCTGCATAATCGAAGAATACGGGAGTTGCAGCCCTTTTCTTCCTCTTCCCTTTTTTCTTAAGAAATTGCACGGATCTAGTCTTCATGGGAACCACCTCATCCAGCTCCTCCTGGATGGTTCGAAGCCTTTTATGACTCCGATCTTCAGGCTCCAAAACCTCTTCAACCTCCCCGTCCTCGGTACAAATAACAACTTCTCCTTCCTCCTCGGACTGAGACCCTTGCTCCAGGGTTTCAACATCCTGAGGAGTACTAACGGAGAACTTCACCTTTTTGTGAACCTGCTCCTGGTTATTATCATCTCTAGGTCTCTTCTTTGCTGTCGTCCTCTTCTGCCTTGCTATCACCCACTCTGGCAGAGCTGGGAGATCTACAGACCATTTTGCCCTGAGAGTATCATCCCCACACTCTATCAGTTCATTGAAATAGGCGATCCTTGCATCCCGGATTTTCAGCTCCTCTCTCAGTCTTGTTGTGCAGTTGACCTCTTCCTTCCATTTATTCGTGATGGTTTTCAAAAGAACTCCCTCCATAAACACAACGGTTAAAGCTTCACAGTTGAAGATCCTCCTGTACATATGTCTCATTGGATCATATAGGTGACGATAGAATTTCTGAAACTCAATATCAGAACCCATTCTCCTTAAGAAATCCGATATCAGGGTAGGGTTTTCACGAGCCCACTCCATCACTACAGGAACCTGCTCACGTTTGAGTTTCTTGCACTGCTTCCCTATTGAAAAACTGCGCACAGTGACAGGATCCATCTCCAGGCTCTTGATTTGTAGAGATTTGGGACGTAACAGACCTGAGGAAAGTAGAGCTGGCTCCTTGAAGTTGCACGCTGAAATCTGCACTGGTGAAATCTTAAATGTTGCATAATGCATGAGTTCTCCAGATACAGATGGAAGCTTGGAATCTTCGTCCCATCTGAGCCCTTGCTGAGTCCATATCCGCACCATCTCAACAAACCAGGACCTGCACTGATGAAGAAACCTGCATCCTCCCCTGGTTAGGGAGGGCCATTCTCCAAGAGTCTTTTTCCAGAGCAATACTCTGGGAGGAGCCTCGTCCATCAAAGGAGAATCTTCTGAATATCTGAACCTGAGACATTTTATTAGATCAGATCTGGAGACTGCAGTTTTGAACGATTTATCATGCACCTCCGTGCTCTCTAGTGTAGTAGCGAGCAGCTTGAGAAACCAGTCCGCAGCAAGCCACTGGTCAAACCTTCCCACGTAAAACAGAAAAATTTCAGGGTCCGGTATATAATCCCTAAGGATTATTGATGCAAATACACAGTAAGCTAGGTGACCTATCTTTAAATCAGCTATTGCATATACCTTGAGAGCATCTGGGATCTCCTTCCATCTTACACCCCACAGGTTGTCAGCTGTGGAACACATCTTGTTCATGACCACGCCCAGCACTTGCATTGCAATGGCATTCATGTTCCTGGCTTGCATAGCGTACCCAGCAACCAGAGCAATAGAGCTTGTCTCAAGGAAACCTTTCATTGTCACTTCTTTCTCCGTGATTAAGCTATAGAATTTTATCAGACCCTCAACATCATGCTTCACAGCCACTCCGGTACAGATGGGGAGCAAGGAGAAGAATCTGATGATACTGTCAGGGGCCCGGATATGGTTTAGGATATAACGCCCTTTGGCATCCCGGAACAAATCCAGGCTGACCATAAGGGCGTGGTTCAAACCATTACCAAGCATAACTTTGACTGGCAACTGCTGCATCCTGTCCTCAGGTTGACCCATAATCGTTTTTTCTTCCTTCTTTGACATAATCTGTCCCTTCTTGAAAGGTATGCGTCCAGCTATCCTGAGAGTGTCATAAAGAGTGGATTTGATTTCCTCTACATCCATACTAACTACATGTGTTGGGAGGATTTTCTGGTCCAAGGCATACTTGTCCCAGAACCACGAGGTTATATCTTCAATTTCTTGGTCTGTAGACTTGCCTACAATTATCTCTTTGACCTCAACTTGATCAAGAATATCCATTGTGATACCACGTTGGTAAGACCAGAAATCTACCTCAGCTCTCCCAGGCAAGTTCCAATCTCCAGGTCTCTCCATAGTACAGCTCAGGAAATCCAATAACGGAGTACCTGTAGGTAAGAGATTGCGCAGGGAATCAAGTTGAGGATTCTGCATCCCATCCTTCTCAGTCTTGTTTAAATAATCCTCCATGCATCTCCGATCTCTCCCTCTATTTATCACTGGTTCATATCCACAAAATTTGGTAACGAGACTGGGTTTGGAGTAGGGTTTGTTTTTCCCCCACATGTTAACCTCCGTCCTTGGAATAAGTATGGAGTCATCTTGGGTTGCAGGGATGGATCTGGCTCGGGCCATGGTCTGGGCAGCTCTCTCTCTTAGCTCATTGGTTTCTGTGTGAAGTATGGGTAGAGCCATCCTCCTCTTCAGGTCCTGCTCCGTGGGAAGTCTGAACAATAAAAATGTTAAAAAAACCGGAAAAAACTTTAAAAATTTAGAAACTTGGATAAGGTAACAATTCATATAACTCAACAAAAGTTGGGAGGGGGGTATAATCAATGAGTAAATCTTTGAAATGGGAGAAGGATTTGGGAAATCGTACTCAATTACAGGAGTGGGAATCCCAAATATATCCTTCTCCATTATGTCTAAGGTTTGAGGCCGGAAATCTTGNTAGTACTAGAGTTTAGACATCGCCAATAATACGACTGGGAGAGCCAAATTCCTTTATCAACCATTTTTTTAACTCAGAAAAATTATCTGAACAATCTAGAGTCCTGGATTTGATGTCTTCTGATAGATGACGGTTGTAGATCTGTGCAGCTCGTTGCTTTGAAGTCCCCCATCCCAACAATCCTATCTCAATTTCATCTATAAATTCATATACAGTTTTCTCAGCATTGTCAGTAAATACTCCAATGTTTGAAATGTCCCCCTTAGAGTTACCAGCTGCATGTGCTTCAGAAGCTGAGTATATAATTTCAACTTGTAAAATCCAATTATTAGCCTGATCTAATAAAGATTTTACTGAATCTACCAAATTTTCATCAAAGTTTTCAAATGCAACATATTTCATAAGAGAGTCCTGACAGGACTTGACATAAGCATTGATCTTTCTGATGTCATCATTACTCTTTTTTATACTATTTAAATCAGAATGAGTTGAAATCTTGGTAGCAATTAATTGCCGAATTAATTTTGCAGAGTTTTCAATTGACTCATGCATTAAAGAACGTTCATTATCCCTGTTTACTCTTGGCCTTGATGAGTAGGAGGATTCGTTGGTGAATAATCTGGAGTCATCCAGGGTGGAGTCGACTTGCTGCTTGACGTTGGCGATGGTCTCGGTTATGAGGGAGATAGCACATTCATCTGATTGTTGCTTTCGTTTTAAAGATTTAATCTCCCTTTTGAGACTCTCAAAAGGATTGTTCTGAAGGGGGGGGGGGTGTTGAGAAGACTGGAGGTGACTGGCATTTATCTTAGAATCAATGTAAATTTTTATGCCACGATCTAATTCATCTACCCTGTGTTCAACTGCAGTTATTCTAGTGCTGTTTGTAGATGAATTATCAATCACAAGATCAAGTTTGTTAGAAATGGTTGAACATAAATTGGAGATGGATGTCATTGACTCCTCTAAAGTCTTCATTTTGACATTTAACTTATTGTTAGATAATGATCCCCCCTGATGGGAATTTCTAACAACCTCGACAATATCATTAAGGGATTTGGAAATGGGAGATTTTCCTAAAGTACTTGAGGTTCTCTTTTCTGTCTCTGGCTCGATACAAGTGGATGGATGGCATCTCTGATTACTCGACTCAGATTGAATATTATCACCACTAAGAGTGGGGATGGGGGGGGTTCTTCATCATCAAAAACAATTTCATCATTACCCTCTGATTCATCAGTGCTAGTGGAGGATTCCGAGATTAGATTGTTCAACTCTCTACGGTCGCGTCTTTCGGCTTTGACTTTTATAAGTCGCAATTGAACAAGGAAGTCGCTAAGTTGAAATGTGTAATGATTTGCTAGTTTACGCAAAATGGCCTCTTCAGATGCTCTCTGAATGCGTCTTTTAAAACGTTCATAACCGTCCACTACCACTAATAATTCGGGGGGGGGGATGGGCTTTCATAGCCGATATCCATACATTAAGATCTGTGATTAAATCTTTACACATTCTCTCAGCTCTCTCCTGTTGTTGGAGGAGACGAGGGTTATTACGGGTTTGAAAACGAGTACCTAATCCTACCCCTAATGGTGTCTCAATTAACCCACTCCCCAATGGAGATATATTGGGATTGGATCTAGTGATATCTAGATCTACATTGCTTGAAATAGGGGGAGATTGAATGGGATCATTAGAATGTTTGCCCTGATTTAATAATCTGACAGCGGATGAAATTCGGTCTGATTCAGAATCTGACATGGATCGTTTTCGCGACCCGTTCACGGGAGTGCGATTTACCGGCATATTTGAAGTGGTTCCCTTTGATCAGTAAATTAGTAGGTACAGGCAATGATAAGGGTAACAAGGGATTATGTTAGGATGTTAACTAGCAGACAAGATGAAATCATTGTATTGAAAATGTAGAATATTAATTGTATTTTCCTACTCTATATAATGGCAGGAATGCTAATTTTATTCATAATAAGAATGAATAAAGAATTGAGAAGGATTAGTGCGTAATAATGTATGACTCCCTTTTAATCTACGTTTGCAATCACTGGCGAAACTAAGAAAAATAAGGGAGTTGATAGGTGATAATGAGTGAACGCTTGAATAATAGGTTGGAATTACAGGCAGATCTAAGATAGGTAGATTTAAGAAGTATTGATAAAATTATCAGCTTGTTATGTTTGTTCCGGGTTGAGACCGCGGATTTATAATTGAACTTTCAGATAAGATGTCAGCTCAGAACTAGGGTGTGCTCCGGACCCAAACCGGAGACTTATAATTGAACTTTCAGAAAAAATGTCAGTTCAGAGATAGGGTATGCTCCGGGCCCAACCGAAGACTTATAATTGAACTTTCAGATAAAATGTCAGTTCAGAAATGGGGTGTGCTCCGAGCCCTAGTCGAAGACTTATGTCTGAATTCGTATTAAACAATATAATTCAGAGATAGGGCAGGGGATAAGGTATCTTTTACTTTTCATGATTTAATGTTTGCAATTGCTGGCAAAATTAAGAAAAGGAAAGACCCAATCCGTAGAAATATAATTGAACTTTCAGATATAATACTCAGTCTGTATCAATCCAGATATGAAGCTCTTGTATCCCTCAATATGTATCGTACAGATAAAACTTGTGTTGACTCTCAGCTATAATACACAGTCTGTATCAATCCAGATATGAAGCTCTTGTATCCCTCAATATGTATCAACTCAATCTTAAACTCAAGGTTCCTTAAATCTGTATCTATCTTTCAAGATAAAACTTAAGCTTAAACTCTGTTCTCTTACAAGAGACAAATTAAGGATCTTGTTCAACTGACTTATATTTTATTGGTATGAAATTAATAAACGTAATTAAAGTAAATCATAATACATGATAATGATATGGACTGATAGGTCTTCTCAGAAATTAACAAACATAGTAAGGTACAGATAATCTTAACATGCAGTGTATGGGGGGGGAGATAAGAAGTGTTGAATAATCAGGTTATCTATCCCTATTTTCATCATAACTCCACATCTCTTTCTTTCCTTGTCTCGTTCCCATCTTGTTATTTTGTTTGCAAATAGGGCATTTACGAATTTCCCTATGTTAACTTTGCCAGTCGTCATAGGCATCTCTGAACTGAGGCTTACTAGTATGCCAGATACAGCATCTTGTACCGAGTCTAAATATCCGTGCGAAGAATTTGATTCAGCGGTAGCATGTGTATAACAGCCAACAGGGAGCCTTTGGACAGGAACTTATTCCTGTTCTTCATCGATACAATTACATTGCCCTAATATCAGGGGACATTAGTTCCAAAACTAACACTTGGCCCGTTTCTAACAGCGAGTGTCAGAAATGGGCACAAATTGAAAGACCGGGTTTTTGGGTCCCCGTCTTATATCCAGAGTAAAAGTCGAAAAAAAACTATAACCAAAATTTTATTAAGCATGACGAGGACAACAATTCCCAATTTTAAACTTTTTTAAATTTCTAAATTAGAAAAGGAGTTCTTTTTATATTAAATCTCTTGGCTGTTTTCAATACAATGTCAGGTTTTCAATTTTGGAACATATCCTGAATTTGAAACATTGTCGCGTTTTCGAGACAAAACCCAATTTCCCGTTTTTGAGTATAATCCACAAGTTAAAAAATCTCACTTTCATAACTTACAAAATAAATCACTGAAATCAAAAATTATCTTATGAAGACTAAATTAACTTCTGAATTATTTCTAGAATCTAAGTTTCAACATTTTATCTGTTAACTTGAAGAATATCGATGATTTATTATCAAGCATTTTAAACAAACAGTTTCATCTATTTTGAAGCTTTCGTGAATAAATTTATTCTTACTCTCTTTTGTCACTTTGTGGGATAATCTGATTTGTGCATAGAATTTACATTTACTGATAACATTCCATCTTCTCCCTCTTCAACTACCAGTTTACTGCTCCCTCTTAGTTCTTCTTTGAGCCAGGCTTCTTCATCGATGTATAAGCTATGAACTTTCCCTAATCTCTGACCTGTAAATATTTCCATTTCCTCCTCAGCATGGTTCTCCGCGTATATAGCTTTTACACTGCCTGAAAAAGTATAGGCATTCTCCGGAAGTATTAATTTTTGGCCTGATTCTTGTTCTTCTGGTAGCATGGATTCTACAAAACCTTCGCCTCTCTCCAATCTCCTTCTACTCTTACTTTCACTAATTTGGCACTTCCTGCAGGAATGGACACCTTCTCCACATGACTACATTTGTCGTTCTCTTACTTCCAGTATATGATTAACAGTAAGTGGCTCTCTTTTCACTCCCACAACATATGTCCTGTTTTCCCACAAGTATAACAGGACATATTTAGTATTTAGTATTTATTTTCAATTGAAATCTCAACTAAATATACATTCATTGAAGTAGATAATTAGTCAGCACTCAAATAATCAAAACATTTTAAGGAATGCATTCAATGAACTTATAAATACATATTGATTCAGCAAAAGTAACAATGTATTCTGGTTAACTGTAGTAGACTTTGACATATACCATTAGCAAAGGGTGTGAACCCATTCTTGTTGACTGAAGAAGATTTTGACATTTACTATTAGCAAAGGTGTGAACCCATACTCGTTGACTGTAGTAGACTTTGACATCTACCATAAGCAAAGGGTGTGAACCCATACTCGTTGACTGTAGTAGACTTTGACATCTACCATTAGCAAAGGGCGTGAACCCATTCTTGTTGACTGTAGTAGACTTTGACATCCACCATAAGCAAAGGGTGTGAACCCATTCTTGTTGACTGAAGTAGATTTTGACATATGTCATTAGCAAAGGGCGTGAACCCATTCTTGTTGACTGTAGTAGACTTTGACATCCACCATTAGCAAAGGGTGTGAACCCATACTCGTTGACTGTAGTATACTTTGACATCTACCATTAGCAAAGGGTGTGAACCCATACTCGTTGACTGTAGTAGACTTTGACATCTACCATTAGCAAAG